TCCTCCCCCCCTCCCCCCCCCCCCCCCCGTGAGTAGGATGGTGTTTATCTCTTCCTTTTGTCCCTCCATTCCTAAAGGACTTGTGTACACAAGTCTGATGTAGAAAGTATTGAGAGCAAATCACATCTGCAGATATATTAAAGCTCACATGGTGGTGATGTGTGGTGCATCTCTTGCTCTCTTCTAGGTTATCTGTTGGCATTAGGAGCTGTGATACTCCCTGGGAAAGGAATCTTCTGGCTTTTGATGCCATCTCTTGAAAGCGGTGTTTTGTATCGGGAGAAGGAACAGGGGCTGGAGAAGCACACTTGCAGTTTTCAAGTTTGTCATTTGGCTGGTACTAGAAAATTGAAGGCAGCAGTAGATGGAGACAAAGGTTTTCTTGCTCATTAGGCTGCCAGGCTCAAATAAATAATGATTTTTCCCAAGAATGTTTGCTAGGGTTTACTAAATGCCTTTTGATTTTGTTTGGGGAGAATTTCTGGTATTGTATATATCATTAGATTTTGCAGCAAAAGCAAGGATGTTTATGGGAAACGTCCTTGTGATTAGTATGGTTGAGTATTCTTCTGTGGCCACACTGCTATTGTACTTTCCTTGTCATTAGTGTATTTGTTAGGCAGAAGTCTGTAAGCAAAGGTAGTGCTCACCCTCCCCAAACTGGACTTATGAAAGATCACTTCCTTCATCGTGCAGAGTATACCTTTTTCCTGCTGGAAGTGTACCTGTTAGTTGTCAGAAACACCACGGTATTGAACTCTTTTTTTTTTTTTTTTTTTTTTTTTTTTTTTTTTTTTTTTTTTTTTTTTTTTTTTTTTTTTTTTTTTTTTTTTTTTTTTTTTTTTTTTTTTTTTTTTTTTTTTTTTTTTTTTTTTTTTTTTTTTTTTTTTTTTTTTTTTTTTTTTTTTTTTTTTTTTTTTTTTTTTTTTTTTTTTTTTTTCCTCCTTCCAAATTATTGTGTACATGTACAGTTGGACTTCATGGTAAACTTCATTTACCTGTACTGCTCTTGAGCAGTAGCATACCACAGAGTATAGCTCAGTTCTGGTTTGCAAAGAGACCAAGACTGAAATCAGTGGAAGTCTTTAGTATACTTTCTGGTTTGATGCTCTTTTATCACTGTTACAAAAATGGGAAGCAGGGTTTAATTAGAGCATATAGAGCTGTAAAATATATTGATTGAGAAGCAAAAAGAGGGAAGCTTAAGAGTGAGTTTGTCATTAAGTGTTTATGTGATAGTGGGAAATCTTCAAAGCATAGCTGTTTTCTGATAAAAGTTCGGGTGGAATGCTTAACCAGAAAATTTTGGGGCTATGGTTTGTTTGGTTGTTGTTTTGGTGAGTCTTTGTGGGGGAGTGTTTGGTTTTGATTTTGTTCCTGCTTTTTGAATGTATGTTAAGCTCTATGAATTAAAAAGAGCCTAGTGTTGTATAGCACAGGTTTAGGTGTGAGACTTCCATGGGGGGTATTTTTGAGGTACTGTGTAAAAATGTCTGGTTCTTTGTACAGCTAAGTGCAATGAATAGGCTTTCCCTAGCGAATTTTAAGTCTCTGGTTTGTTTTCTGAAGGCTGTATGTGGTAACTTCCTGAAGAACTTTGTCACTATGCAGGGCAGCTGCATTGTGGTAGTCAAACTGTTTGCTTCCAGTTCTGTTAAAGAGCTATGTTAAAGCTTGTTGGTCCATAAAGTAGACATTTAAACGTTGTGTGTGTTTGGGGTTCTTTATTAACTGTGTTTGTCTTTAGTTCTCAGAAGATGTTTCTATAGTGTCATTCTTTGCTGTCGAGTTCCAAACAGGTTACACATTTATTAGGAAAAATAATAGGGTGTGTATTTGAAAATACTGATTTTTTTTTTTTTTTTTCTTTTTTTTTTTTTTGGTGTCACATAGCTGAGTGTGTATTTATCCATGTGTATGTATGCCTGTATAATACATGTGTGTGTAGTCCAGCTTGTAAAATTGAGTTGTCGTTAGCCATTTATCAGCTTTAGAATTTTGTCTTTGCTTCCAGATGTGGTTGTAAGTTGTAGGACAGTACTTCACCTGTGGATATCTGCATTTGCAACAGTTGACTGTACTAGTGCTATTGAACTGCTTTTCTGTCTTCCTAATGACAATGCAGATCACCATCTCCCTTCCCCTCTCCTAATCCCCTATTTATTTTTTTTTATTTCTTTCTTTTTTTTTTTTTTTGTTTTTGTTTAACCTGTGTCTTGGAAACAATTTCCCAGTAAGTTCTAATCATGTTTATGTTTTGCTTCCAGTAGGAATTGGAACTGAAATTATTCATCCGCTTCTCCGAGCCTTTTGAAAAGTGACTAAATGCAACTGAGTCAGATTGTCTGTGGGAATGAAGTGGCTGGGAGAATCCAAGAACATGGTGGTGAATGGCAGGAGAAGTGGAAACAGGTCGTCTAATGACCATGCGCAGAATCAGACCAAATTGCAGCATGCAGGAAAGGAGAATCCGAAGACGGGCAAAAATGGAGTTGAGAGAAGATCAGGCAGATGTACGTGCATATTTATGCAGCTTAGTGCTGTATGTGATTCATCTATCAATTTGCAAGTCAAGCTTCTGTCTTGTCTTAATTCATGAAGGAGGTCTGCATTCAGTGTGTAGCTATCATCAGAAGTATTAATTATGTTTGTATCTGCTGGGTGTGTTAAGTTGCTTCAGAAATGCAGATCTTTTCAGTTTTAAAGTTAAGTGAGAATAGGTAGATGTACATCAATTTTGAACTGGTGTAAGTATAAAATACGTGATTGGCAATAAGTGAGAACAAGTGTGATTGGAGGTTGTGCAGAGAAGCTGTGGCTGCCCTGTCCCTGCCAGTGTTCAAGGCCCGGTTGAATGGGGCCTGGAGCAGCCTGGTCTAGTAGAAGGTGTCCCTGCCCATGGCAGGGGGTTGGAACTGGATGAACTTTAAGGTCCCTTCCAACCCAAAACATTCTAGGGTTCTACGATAACATAAATTGAATTACTAACCCATCTTTTAATGAATGCACAGGTAGAAGTAAACCCTGTTTTGAATGAAGTCACATATATCAGTGGTCATTATGAAATGGTTTTAAGGAACATAGATTATTATTTTTGCTGTTGGTCTGGGATGAAGGACTGATTACAAATTCAGAGCAAGTCCTTTATTCAGATTTTGGGGAAATAATTTTTGACATTTTTGTGACTTGATCACATTTATAGGTCAGAAATTTTAGAGGCAGGTGTGACTGAACTTTGTGGTCTGGAAAGATGCTTGTAGTTGGGGAGGGGAAAAGAAAAGGAAAGCGGTTAAAGACACCCGTAAAATATATTCTTAAGTACTTTCTCCACTGGCTGCTACATAAATGAACAAGAGTGAAAAATTAACTGTGGTTCTGGGTCTTCAGTTATTTTGTCATCTTCCTTAATTGTTCTATATTTTTTGTCTCCTACCTGTGGCTGTCTGTCCCTGAGAGTGGTTGGGCTTTATAATGTTTTTTAAATGATACCTAATTTAAGTTCTCTTATTTGCAGGTAGCGGTGCTTCAGGATTTGAGGGTCAAAGTCGTTATGTGCCTTCCTCTGGAATGTCTGCCAAGGAACTGTGTGAAAACGATGACCTAGCAACTAGTTTGGTTCTTGATCCCTATTTAGGTTTTCAGACACACAAAATGAATACTAGGTAACTTGTCTTTATTTTTCTAGAAAAGAATTGCTCATCTTTGTTGATGTAATCAGAGCAAAACTATCGAATTTCTTGCATGTTTCTGACGGTCTGAAAAAATGGCAATTTGTGAGTAGCTTCTGCCTTTAAAATTGTGTTGCATGTGAGACTGGATCTTGGAGCTCTGTGGCAGTGTTCATTTTTAACACTATCGCAGGTCTTTCTATTAGCCTGTGTGTATCTATGGTGTACAACAGGTTCTTAATAGACACTGTTTCCTGCCTTAAATGGTTAACTAATCCTGAGTTTTAAACTATTAGTCATTTGAATTATTTCAAAGACAGAAGTCAGTGTTTGGGGACTTTTCTGTTTATTTCATCTGCCTGGGTGCATTTCTCCTTCCCCTCTTACTCTTATGATATCAGAAGAAAGATACAGTTCCTGAACATCAAGTGCTCAGTTCTTGCTGAAGTTCTTGCTACTCAGAAATGTCTGTATAAGGTGAATTAATTTGCACACTGGGAACTTGCTTACCGGAGTTGCACACAGTTTTGCACTGTTACGCACCTCTCTGAGTACTTCTGATCTAAAGTCAGTGCGGTCTTAGGGGTCAGTTGCTGCATTTCTCTTTTACAGGCATACCACATATTGTAAGTATATTCTAGAGATCTCTATTACGTTTTTGTTTACATAAAAGATCTGCGTTGCTAGCTTAATGGCGAAGTTACATAGAAATTTTAAGTTTCTAAGGACAGTAATCATGTGCTTATTATTGTGCAATAAAAAGACCTAGAGTTTCCAGGCAGCACATCATGGAAAACAGGCTGCTCAGTCCTTCAAACTGTTGCTATGGCTATTTTTAAACAGCAGCTTACCTGTGCAGCATGGTCAGATAACCAGAGTATCAGTTAAGTAGTTTTTTTGTATGTATGTAACGAGCTGATTGATTCAGAAATGACTGCTAGATTAATCTGTTGTCACATAACATAAATGGTTGCTCGTATTACCTGACAGCATGAGTTGCACATGAAATTGCAACAGTGCGGTCCTAATAACTGCAAAGACTTACTCCAAAGAAATGTGTCTTTTTCACTGGAGAGTACTGCATCCATCTGCAAGAGGAATGCTTGAGTTCTTCCTGTTCCCTCTGTACTATTGGTTACAATAGCACATTGTGCCCAACAGGGTCTAGGTAGATGATGGTATTACAGTTCGGTTCACAGTGTCTTTGTATTTCCAGCAGTTAATCAAACTAAATATATATGCCCAAAAGACTCTTTTGTTTTGTTGCATGAATGGTAGTCTATAGGTAGTTAATTCTTAACTACATAGGGAGTTAATTCTTAACTACATAGGGAGTTAATTCTTAACTCTTTCTGCTAAGGAAATGATGTATTCAGTGTTTAATAGCTGGAGAAACTATTCTCAGAAATGTTTTCTGCTGATATGTTTTCGACACCTAAAATACTTTTTTAATTACTAATTTGAATCAAAAGACTAGACAAAGGCTGTCATCATGTATTTCTTCCTTTCTCAGACTTGGAGAACAGTTGCAGGCAGTCTTCAAGGACATCAATAATCTTGGAATGCTATAGGAAGTGCTTAGGTGGGGCTTATGACTTCCACCAGAAACACATCTTCTTGCCTCTTTCATAATGTCCTGTTGAGAGAGTTTCTGTTGTTGCTATGAATTAAAGTAAAGGCATCAGCATAGTTCTTGTTCATCTTTTTGGTACAGTGATGACATCTGCTTGTTACTGTCGCTGTGATGCTTAGATCATCTTCTTTCCTACAGTAAGCTGTAGTCTTTCTAGAGCTCCTGAGATGTATTGTTCTTGTATGGCTTGGAGGGAAGGTGGGAGGAAAATCAAATATGAAAAACTAGACTGTTTTCAAAGTATCAGAGCTAGTATCAAATACATGATTGTAGCAGAAATTTACAGTTTATTTGGTCATCTTCTCCTTCAGTGTGTTAAAGTCATGTTAGTTATGTAGTTTGTATATTGAGGTGCACTTAGAATAAAACAGCCTTTTATGATGGCAAGCAAATATTTCCTGTTCCCTTGTGATTTGTTTGAAGATGTACTGTGGACTATGTGACTGCCACTATTCTGCTTTGCTATTTGTATTTTTGCAACTAGCAGCCCAGGGTAGGTTGGTGACCACTTACCAACATTGCACTTAACCTTACCTCTGGAAGCCAAGTTACTTAATAATGCAAAAATACAATCTCCTATATAAGGACTTTCTGTATTCATTCATTCATTTAGTCGAAGAGTTTGTAAAGACTTCTTGGTTTGGCCAGAGTATATTGATGGGGTGGGGGGAGGTGGGGGGGATAATTTTGAGTAAAATATATAGATTATTGTTGGAATGTCTTTGTTTTCCATTGTCTTTATACCAAATAAGTGATCTTACAGTAGAGTGGTGACAAGAATATGATTGTTAATTTTTTCCATGGACCATAATTCCTGAATGCCCTTCATCTTGGGAGTTGGGCTATTAGCTTTGCAAACTGTCAAATTAGTAATGTCTGAACCACCTGAAAACTAGTTCTCAAAAGATTACAATGAGCTCCCCCAATAAGTTTGTCCATTATTCCTCTGAAATACTTTCTTGTCACTCAGGGATTTGATGGACAGCGTAACATGTAGCTCTAGAAATGTCTTCAGTGGCTTTACCCAAAAGTAACTTAAAATCCTCTTGGATTTCCAAGAGAAAGAGGATTGTTTTCAAAACTTCTGGTCCTCTTTAGAGTCGCTGTGGTCATTCTTTCATCAAATTGGTAGCTCTTACCTCAACAAAATAGCAGGTTAGCAGTTAACACAAAACTTCATATATTAGTAAGTATAATCTTGTCAAGTACAGCTGTTCTAAAAGGTTTTGTTCCTTCTTGTACAAATCCTGTCATATCACACTTCTTTGGGGTTTTTATTTGTTTGCTTGTTTGGGTTTTGTTTGTTTGTAGGGCTTTGTTTGTTTGTGGTATTTTTGTGTGTGTGACAAAGACTATCCTGGCTCTTAAGATCTACTTAGTCTTGCATGCCTGTCTTTTTTGTAAAAACAAAACTGATTTTGCAAGCTATTACTTTCTGGGTTGAAGGTTGTCTAACATGAGAGATTAAAACTGACACTTGTAAAAGTAAAGTGAATTCTTGCTTATCTTACCATCTTTTATTCTCAGATGCTTTTCCCTAGCCTGAGTGCTGAATCTTGAAGTTGCATGCCTTAATGTCTAATCCATTCTTTACTGTTGTACATACAAATGTGTTAGTATTTAAAACTTAAGCCAGAGTCATGATCATACAGATGCAGTTACCAGTCACTGTCCTTTCCTGGTTCCCTAAAGCACCAGCATCATGCTGGGAAATACTGAGAGCAGTTCCAGTGTCTTTCAAAGTGATGTAGGATGTCACATGCTTTGTAGTCTGCTTTAGGATTTAAGCTTGGTGTGTGGTGCAGGTGGTTTTGTCTGATAACATGAGACTTCAGGACCAAATATGAAGTGTTTGGGGATGATGTATGGGAAGCTGCTTACTCTCAACATGGCACCAAGAGCAATTGCTGGCTTCGGTGTGAACAGTCAGTTGTTCCTGAACTTGACATGGACATCACTCTTTGTCCCTTAGAGTCACCACTGAGCAATAAGGACAAAAAAGGCAAAGCAGTTCCTTATCACTTGCATTTGTGGGTCTGTGCTGAAGCATTTCTGTGCCTCTTAGCTCATTTCAATACAGTAATAAAAGGGCTCAGTATTTATCTTGAACAGGGTTTGGAGGTAGAACAAGCTATGTGGCTTCTGCTAAATAAGGTTACATGACTGTATGGTTCAACTTCAGTGACATGGTGCTGTGGAGATACTGGATTAGAGGTACACAGCTCTTAAGTAGTGACACCCTATTTCAGAATGAAGCTGTTACTGAGGTCTGAAGAATGTATCTGTGTACTTTCCAAAATCACTTTGACTTCTGTCTAAAATCTGCTTTTCTTTTTTTTCCTATTTTTATTTTTGCTGATAACTTAAGTCAGTAACATCCTTCAGCTTGTTCCTGGTTGTCTTCCTTCGCTGTGTATAATCATACACAGTGTTTACATTGTAACTAACTATTTCACTGCTGCTGAATGTTTTGGATTTAAAAATAAACAAAAATATCACAACCAGCACCACACACAACCCCCCCATACCAACACCCACCACCTTACTTCTACACATTTTTTCTAGTTGCACCTTTAACTTCTATAAAAAGTGTTGTATGTCCAAAAGATGGAGTCACTTGCATCCAGTAGTCATGGTAACTGCTAAATTAAATTTACCATGTGGAGTATCAGAATAGGAGTGGGGTGTGTGTGGTTTTTCTGTATGCCCCATATTTATTTAAAGACAGCATTTATTTGCTAGCCATATCAAGGAGAGTGAAATTATGTGGTTGTTAGAATTCTCTTCTAGGCAGTACTGGAGTTTTGACCACACTGATGCGTGTGTAGTTTCAGTTCAAGAAATTTAAATAACGTGGATTACTTTTGTCATTAAAAATGCTGGTTTGAACTTTGGCTTTTAAAGAACAAGGAGTTTTTACAGATCCCAGCATTGGATATTAAACACAGAACAACTTGATTTTTATATAACTAGCTTTTAATTAAAATGCTCATACTGCTACTGCAGGGTTGGGGGGGTGGGGGAAGCCAAAATGTATGTTAACTAAATAAATGGTTTCTACTTAGTATAAGTAGATGATTTTTACCTGTTGTTTTGCTGTTTTGGATGCTGAACAGCCTTGCAGTTCTAGCTTTTGTGCTGAATCTCTGATACTAGATGAACAGTAACTTGCTGTCTTTCCATAGCCTCTTACATAAAAATATCATCCAGACAAAGTGCCTGCTAAGAGACTAATGGGATGCTGTGTTTTGATAAATTCACTCTTCTTGATGTTCCCTATTCAGAAGTTGAAAAATAGGTTTAGAAGCATAACTCTTTTATGACCCACCAATACAGTATGTGGAGTTCCATAGCAGAACTCTCACAGGATCAATTTATCCTTTTTATTCAAACTCACTGCTCTCAGTGACTGAGACTGAGCAAGGTACTGTGCTTCTGAACTTACCAGAAACTCTCCTTTAACTTCCTTTATAGGCAAGCATCTCACTGACCTTTGGCTTTATACCTTGGAGTTTCAAGAGTCTTTAAGTATTCCTGAGGTAAGAGAAACTTAGAGAGGTTTGCTTCCCCAAGCTGCTTTCCTACGTCTTCCTTATTCAGACCACCTCAGTTTGCCCTTAACTGGAATAAGATCATCATGTAGCTGATTTTGAAATTGCAATAGCAGTTGCTTTTTTGGATCTTGTTGACTAGGGAAAAATAAGTATTTCCTGGAGAAGTGCGAAAAGTTTCTGTTCTGCAGCTTGTCAGGAAGAAGGTGTATTATTATTTCTTTAAAGATACTGTGATAGCGGAGTTTTTCATTCTTGGCTTACTTTTAAAAACAGACTGTTTTGCAGCAGGTTCCATGTTCTGTGAGACTTGTTCCCTGAAGCTGTTTGTAGGGTGGCTCGATGAGTCTCTGTGTGTAAGCAGATTCAAACACCAGAGTGTCTGATTCAGTTTCCGTGAGGGATTCTAATATAAGAATTTGTTCATAGGAGCAGACCAGAAGTCTGGATAAACAGTTCTGATTTTAATTGACTCTCTATTTATAGAGACTGGATTGTCTGTTCTGTTTTAATGGTTTTCTTGTGTTCTGTCTATGGGTCTATTTCTCTTTTTAGAACTGATCTCGTATTTTACTGATACTTAAAAGCCAGCTTCTTTTGCCTGGTCTATTTGTATAAATGTAGCTGTGGGGTATTCTCAGGCTTTCTTCGTTGTGGTGCTCAAAAACAGTTCTGTAGATTCTTCCAGCAGATACATAGATGTTTTTTTTCCTGTTTGGTTTTTTTTTTTTTTTTTTTTTTGACAGGTGTAATTGAGGAAGCCCTTTAATACCAAAATAATAGTATTTCTCAAAACCAATTAGCTTTTTGGTAGACAGTGCTGGGAAAGACTAACAAATAAACTGTTTCATAATACTTCTGGGAGAAGTGAAGTATTTATCAGTAGACCCTCAAATTCTCAAGGAACACTACTTCTAGGCTTTCTTGGCATATTGGCTTCTTCAGTATCTCAGATCAGGAGGTACATCTTAAAGTATACGTGGAGTTACACCTGTCAAAGAACTGAAGCTTTCATGAGGAGTCTGGGTTACATACAAGGTTTATATGCTCTCAGTGCAGTTTATATGTGCTGTCGAGCTGTGAAGAGCTCACTAACTCAGGCTCACTGTTCCAAGTGTCATTCTGTCTCCCGGATGTGAGAATCCTTGAAATGTAACGCTTCATGAAGTTGGTTCCTGGCATCTTTCCATTTACTTGTGGACACTTCTTGCTTAGATTCCTGTTTATCTTTTCTCATTAGCTCTGTCTTGTCACCATGTAAAAAATATTAACAGAGTGTTTTGGTAGAGGTGCTGGAGGAGGTCCTTGATACTAAGGTGCCAGGGGTCATGTTCTTTGAAGGAAAAGGAAAAAAAACCACAACCAAACAAGAAAACCCCTACACCCCAAAAAGCCCCCCAGACCAGTTCTTGTTTCAAGTTTCAAATGTAGCATTCATCTGACTTTTTGATGTCTGGGGGCTTTTACAGTCTTCACCCCCTTCCTGTTTCCACCCTTCTTTTTGGCCCTTTCAAGACTTGGACATAAACTAACTATTCTGCTTCTCAGGAATGATGTTACATGAGTTTCTGCTAGGCATTTAAAGGAATTCCACCACCAGTGTGGAATACCTGAGATGAGGCCATAGAAACACCAGCTGAATGTGATCCACGGAGGTATGTGACTTTTAAAGGGTTGGGCCAGGTTCTGAGCCACCAAAGGTAGCTATTCAGGTAGTCATCTAGTCAGCCTCTGAGAATGGTACGTTGCGAAAGACCTGAAACATGAGCATCACTTTGGGGCTATAAGATGGGCTTCTAAATCTAGAAAATACAGGGTGTTGAGTCTTTTGCTGTAGGTCTTTAGAGCGACTGTTTAAACTTAGCATCTGCTCTGCTTTTTATTTTTGCTTTCTTTTTCTGCTGGTGGTTGAGTTGCGAATCTTTAGCTAGCCTAGACCAAGCTTCTTGATGATAAACAAGAATGATTATGTCTATCAGCACACACGTTGCTCGTCTCAGGTGGTAATGCCATTTTGGATGTGATAGGTTTTCTACCTATCTTTTTTTCCTGGAGGTCACTTAGCTAGAAAAAGGAGTGTATTTCAACATATAGTGTAAAATGCAAGGGAAAGGGCAACCATTCGTTTAACCAAGCAAGAACAGACATAGCTGAAGACAAATTTTAGCTGTAAATTCTGTGGGGTTTTGTCCTTTTAATGTTTGTAGATAAAGGTGTAAACAAAATGTTGACCTGTCTTGTTAGTGCACATTGGTGTACTTTGTACTTCTCATGATGTCAGAACAGTTGGGTCCTTTTTGGGAAAATTGTTTCTGATTGAAACTGAAAATGAGGGCGAATCTTATTCTGAAACTAGTCAGGTTCAATTCAGGCTATATCATTTAAATTCTTTTAATGTCTGAGGAACCTCTGTGAGTATGACTGTCAAATCTGGGAGAAATCTTTCTGGTTTCGGGAGAATTGGGAGATCATCATCTTTTATGTGACTAGGAAGTCAAGGGAGACTTTCCTGTGCTACAGAACAAAACCAGTAATGATTGTGTCATCTGTAGTCTGAAGGGAGTTTTCTTCCATGATGAAGTCTCAGCAACTTGTTAAGACAGCTGGCTTTTGGGTGTTTTAAGTATACTCTTTAATAAAGAATTTGATTTGAAACTTAGTTGCACAGTACATAGCTACAATGCTATGTGGGCATCTGTTTCTTGACTGGCTCTTGCTATATTGTTAAATGTTATCCCACCCAGAACTACTTACTGTATCTTCTTCTCTGAAAGTTCACAGGTTTATGCTGATAATTTTTGCCATATTCAAAAAGATTGCTTAGTCATTATACTACAAGGAAGTTTTCCAGGTGGAGAATGCAGAGACGTGTAAAAGCAGTAGCATGGAACACTGATAAAATACACTGCTGCTGGAAGTGATACTGCTATTAGGAGGCCTTTATTGTATCAGGAGCATAAATACCACATTTTATTTCTAATGATGGAAATTAAATCATCATAATTATTAGTTATTTCTGATTAAACTCTTTACTACTTTACAAGGTGAAATAGAATTAGAACGTGCAACATTTAAGCTATGTTGTTTCCTTCATACAAGTTGCATAGAAGCAGCAAATTCTTGGTCATCTGAAAATAAGTTACTTGCAGCAGTCAGCATTCTGAGATGAGGATAAGCCAGGTGAATGGTAATTTGAAATACAGGGTATCAGTGAGGGAGTTGATGAAGCTTCTTTCCAATAACTTAAAGAATTTATTTCCCCTTGTTTACTTTGGTCATCAAATGCAGACTTCATTTGGTAAGTAAGAGGAAATCAGCACGGTGATGCACTTCAAGCAAAAAGTAACGGGACTCAATCTTACAGATTTAATCAAAAGCTGGTAGCTTGTGTAACATTTTTGTCATATGCTGTGTAAGCAAAGGACAAGAGTTGTAAAAGGAGTGACAGAAAACTTTCTCATGACCCTAGAAAATTTTTATCTTTTTGAAGCATCCCCTGGGGTGTGTCATACACTCAAAAGTATATGCAACCCACCTCCACCCCAGAGCAGAGTATATATGGGTGTGTGCTCAGCAAAGGCAATTTATAGAGCTTTGGCATAATTTCCAATTAAATTCTGCTTTCTTTTGATGGTTTTTCATCTCAAAACTGGAGATCCTGCTGCTTGCAGCCGTGTAGGTTTTTTCTCTAACCATTTTTTTCCTGTTGAATAATATTTGTTCTTAAATCTCAAGCTTTAGGAAGAAAGCAGAATTCTCTGCTAATGTGCAGGAGTTTATTTACATATCTACCCATGCTTTTCAGCTACCTTTTTCCTGTAGCAAATATTTTTGGGGAAAAATCTTATGATAGCACTGACTTGTGGAACTTTAGTCTTCCATAGATGTAGTATCTATACTGTGTGTTATTTATCAATACTCGTGTAGTTGTTAAGAGGTGTCCTTTATGAATGCAAATGTTATGTTTGCATTCCACATAAACCCATAGAGTGGATTTGTCAATATAATAAGGCTTTGGCTGGGGCAAAAGTTGATATGAAATTGTTCTTCAAGATATTTCCTTTTTTTTTTGTTTTTGTTTTGAGATCTTTTTAATCTTTCAGTTGAACTGTCTTAATTATTGTTAATTAAAAAAAATAAAAATATATTGTAGCATGTAAGGTTTTAGAGGGCTTAAATTTCAAATCACATACACCCAACCCAGCTGCGAAAGCCATAACTGTGCACGGATTCTTTGATACACTGTTAACTAGGAAACTTAAAGCACCCAGTTTATTTGCTGATTCTTTTTGCGTATGCATTTTTAATGATAGTAAATTTATTAGGAATGACAGTAACACTTCCATTGTACTAGTTCTTTAGCTGCTTCGTTCCATATAATAGGCATTGAAAGCAGTGAAATATTATTCTATGCAGGTTAATCTTGCCAGATATTTGTTCTGTAAATAAATTGTGCTTCTCAGCAGAACAGAGGGTTTTAACATCCCAAGTTGTATGCTTGGCTTTACCTTACCTCTCCCATTGCCTCAGGAAACAAGGGCCTGTGATTTGAGTATGTAATAGTCAGTTTCTTTATGCTTAGGAGTTAAATGTTTTTATGGCTAGCAAAAGAACTCTGTGTTGCAAGTAACTGTGAGGAGGAATTGAGAATCAATGTCAGTGGACTGGAATAGCTTTATTCTTTATTTCAGATTTCGACCTATTAAAGGAAGGCAAGAAGAACTAAAAGAGGTGATTGAACGTTTTAAGAAAGATGAGCACTTAGAAAAAGCCTTCAAGTCCTTGACGTCAGGTGACTGGGCCCGGCACTATTTTCTTAACAAGAACAAAATGCAGGAAAGGTTGTTCAAGGAACATGTAGGTGTATTTGTAATTAATGTGCTTTTTCAGATGGTTGAAAGGCTAAGAAAATGTAAAAATTTCTAGGAATGTAGCAGTAGTGAAGTAATTCACTGCTGTATGATATGTTTCTTTTGTTTGATTGCTTTTTAACAGAATCTTCCTTTGTTTTTTAAAACCCAGCAAGCTCCCTGCCCCCGTCTTTCTTTCTATTTTTATTTTTTTTTTTTTTAGTTACCTTACCTTGTGCTTATAATCATGGAGAAAGGACAACATATTTAAAACACATTTGCCTCTTTTGCTGTTGACATAAGTCATACGCGGAAGAGAGAAGACCTTCTGGGAGACAAGGGGTTTCTAGGACCTTTCATTCTTTGAAAGTTGTATTTTTGCCCCCTTTTCTGTTTGTTCTGTGGCTTGTTGGCTTGGGTGGTTTTTTTTTTTTTTTTTTTTTTGTTTTTTTTTTTTTTTTTTTTTTTTTTTTTTTTTTTTTTTTAACCTGTAGCTATCATAAATCAAATTTTATGGCAAAGGTAAAGGAAAATGGAGAAGCCTTTTTACCTCAGAATGCCTCAGATGTTTTGGCTGTTGGGGCTTTATGGGAGAGTGTTGTTTTTCCTTCACTTCCCATGCCCCAGATCCTTTTGTATATAGTATATATTGGTTGTTGATTCTCAAAGTTGTGAGGTAGTTTTTTTTTTGTTTGTTTTTTTGTTTTTTTTTTTTTTTTACGTAAAAAAACCCCAACTTCTTCAGGAGTGAGCGCATTGTTTTCAGATACAACCAAAAGGAATTTTGCTTACTTTAAAGTGCATCAAATCTAGTAGTGTAGAAAAAATTAGGCAGCAAATTCTGCTTTCCCAAATTTATTTTTGAGTAATATAACTAACTAAAAAGAATTTATCCAGTGATCCCTGTATTCGGTATTTAGATTTATCATGGTAAGTAATATGTTTTTCAGAACTGGAAAGAATGAAATTGGATGCTGTAGATTGTTAGGTCTCAGTAGTTCTTAAAGATCTAAAGAGAAGAATTCTTAAATACAGCTACTTAGTAACTTTAAGAAGAAGTTACCCATTTTTGTTGGTTCGGATAGTTTTGTGTCATTTGAGGCATCTTTAATTTTATTTTTTTTTTTAACTCTTTGGATAGTCATGTTATCCATGTGAGAATTCCTGCAAGTCAGTCTTAAGAAACAAGATTAACATGTATTGCTAAAATTTATAATCAGAAATGCACTTAAGCAAAGAACATCCCATTGCAATATCTATTTTTGGGGTGGGGGGTGTTTGTGCAGTTCACTGACTTTCTTTTTTCTACATGTCTTTGTTTTGCTTGTAACAGAAAAGTACGTGTTTTCTTCCATTGCAGGTGTTTATTTATTTACGAATGTTTGCTACCGATAGTGGGTTTGAGATACTGCCTTGTAATCGGTATTCTTCTGAGCAAAATGGAGCCAAAATTGTTGCAACAAAAGAATGGTAAGAAATACAGTTTGCTTGTTGCATTCTATTTCTGTCAATTTATTTTGAGAGAGTCTAAAAAAGAAATTGAAAAGTATGATGTAGAATTAAAACAGCAACCAATGGAATACAAGGGTTTGTATTTTTACTTAGAAATTAAATTTGGTGTCTGTTTTTGCTAAGTACTTAATAAATGTTTCTGTAAGACATTCATTTGTATATTTGGACATAACCATACAGTTTTCAGTATACAAGCGGGTTTTTTTAATCTTGTTTTCAGTCAGATAATTGAGTTGTTTGCCTCCTGTGAGAAACACAACCGTGTCAAGACGCACATTTTATCATATTTGTTATACAACAGATAATTGTAGGGGAAATTAGTTTTCCACCTTTGTGAAACTGAGGGGTGTTATTTTGATTGTGCAAGATAAATCTCTCCTGGAAACACAAAGTCGGAACCCGAGTGTATGTCCCCATCTCATTTTGACACATCTGAGTTCCATTATAAGCATGTCTGTGGCAGCACCAGCAGATCCTGGGGAAATGCAGATTATTTTAAAATAAACTTTCCACTTCCTTCCCCCTCTCCTCCCTCCCATAATTTATATTTGTTTTGCTTTGTTGCAGTACATACTCATAACAGCACACTTGAGATGATGATATGCTATTTTATGCAGGCTAGGATTGGCTAGACATTATGCTGGCAGCATACCAAGTAAGCATGCTGTTACTGTGGGGCTACAGCCTCTACATGTGGGAGAGTAAGCTTTAAGAAAGTTGAGGCCAGTTTCTAGCTCTTCATGACTGTAGCTGGAAGTTCCACAATCATGACATAATCAGTATTTTGGGGGTTGGGTGAATTCTCCCCATGGCTGATTCTTTGGGGTGGAAGCTAAAAATTTTGGGGTCTGCTAAGAATGAATTAACTTTACATGCTTTAAATCTTGAGTGGCCTGAAAGTGCACAAGACAGGTGAACTGATTCTTAACCTTGGCAATACCTGTGAAACTTCAAAACTAGTAAGATTGCTCAGCTCTCTCATACGGGAGAATTTTGCACTTAAAAGGCTTGGCTTCTAGTTTGTGTCCTTCATGCGTATTTAGTATCTGCATATTCATCTCTGTCAGAGTAATTGGCCAAAATTTGGAATGGCCACTCTAAAGATCAGCAGAAACAATGCTTTTGCAAGGTAAAGGAAATTGCTTCTTCCTAGGCGGAGTATTCAGTGCCTCTGATCTGCTATGTATATGATGGCAGATTGGCTGTCCACACATGAAGGCATCATGCTTTTGTTGGTGTTGTGTCCCACCCTCCATCCCCCAGTGGTCTATTTCAGGGACCAGTTTGATGCTGTAGAACCACTCATGAAAAGAGATACCTTGCATGAATTCTGGCCTTTTTTTTTTTTTTTTTTTTTTTTTTTTGAGTCAGTACTGGGTCTTTTTTAAGAAGCTGTGGAGTTCTAAGCATCTTTGCTATGCTGTGTTTTCCTGGCTAGTGGAAGAAGTGTAGGAAATGCAAACAAGAGCAGCTGGAGGAAGTGTCTTAAGTGCTGATGGGGAGGGAGTGTGCACAAATGAAAAATCTTGCTTTTGGTTTGAACAACTGTAGAAGCTGAAGTAATCAACTCCTGCAATTTCTTGCTTACAGTCTCAGGAAATTGTGGATACAATGGTAGTAATGTCTGTCAGAATTGATGTAATTGATTCTGTATAGCAGCATAAAAACATATACTTAATTTCAGATAAGTCTGTTTAGCCTAATATCCTGCCTCTAACTGAGCTAAAGCATGAGGTTTATAGCGTTTGAGAAATGGTTTACAAAACACTTCCTGTTATTGACAACTTTTCTTCTTGGGAAATTACTTTGCAATTTTGGCATATGCATTCTTACATCTGCTACTCTTTTTACACTAAAGGAAACGAAATGATAAAATAGAATTACTTGTGGGCTGTATTGCTGAACTATCAGAAATGGAAGAAAACATGCTGTTGAGACATGGGGAAAATGACTTCAGTGTCATGTATTCAACACGGAAAAACTGTGCACAGCTGTGGCTTGGTCCTGCAGCATTTATCAATCATGGTGAGTAATAAGTATAGGAAGTATGTTAATGGACATAAGCATTTCTGCTTAGAAGTGTTGGTGAGCTTAGAGACCTTAGAGAAAAGGTCTGAATCTGGCATACTGGGTTTACTGTAGGACAAAATCCTCTTAAGATTTTCCCAAAGCAAAGCTGTGGGGAGCTTGGAGAAGGCTCTAGGAAGTGATGCCTTCTTACTTCACAGAGACTTTGGAACTGGCAGCTGAATTAGTAGAGTATATTGTGGGTTACCTTGAATTCTTTGTAAACTCAGTCAGCAGTAACGTATTTCTTAGGTGAACTTACGCCTTTAACCTTTTGCACAGAAGCTTAATTGATTCTGTTGCTTTTGTATGCTGAAGGAAAAGAGGTAGGATTTAAGATAAATCCTATTACCTTAAAGAGGAAGGAATCTGAACATTTGTGATAGCACAGGAAAGAGCTCAGAAACCAAATCTTTCTATGTATAGCTCTGTGCAATACTAATGTAACTCCCAGTATGTAGTTGAGATTCTATAGTTATTGAAGTCAGAGTGAATCCTTACTTTAGATATCTACAACTATTCATGTTTCAGGTCTTATCAACAGTTAATTGACTTTATCTTTTGGACCTTTTTCAGATTGCAGACCTAACTGTAAGGTAAGTAAGAAATTAAAATAAATCACCCACATTTTTTCTCTTTATCACTGCACCTTCCTCCCCCCTCCCCAACTGTTTCACTGTTTTTTGTTTCTTACTCAGATACTGTTCAACCAGAATGATAACCTTTTTTCTTTTTTCTTTTTTTTTCTTTTCCCCCCTGTTATCTCCTTCCCCAGTTTGTCTCAACGGGCAGGGATACAGCATGTGTGAAAGCTCTAAGAGATATTGAACCTGGAGAAGAAATCTCTTGTTACTATGGAGATGGGTTTTTTGGAGAAAATAACGAATACTGCGAATGCTACACCTGTGAAAGGTACGCACTGATGTAAATAAGTTTCAAATGGAATTGAGCTTATTCGTGACATATTTTATGAAAGTCCTTGGTTATGAGTACTCAGATTTTTTTTACACATTATAATTGTTCTTTGCTACTTCTTCTAATGACTTTTTTTTTTTTTTTTTTTAAATGTTGTTAGTGAATGGTCACATTTCTTAGAACTCCTGCATTCTGTTTTTCTTTTGATTCTTTGTTCTGGAGATAGCCCAAAATAAGAATAACAAAAAAAAATAAAAAGGAGGAAGTGTAGATTGTTAAAAATATTTGTGGTGAATAAAGTAGAATTGGAAAGAAAACAGTTGTAGCTTCTATGAGACCATTAGCAGCTGACCTTTAACTTTTGCTCTTCTTTTTTTTTTTTCCACTTGAAAAAGCAAATTTCATTAGCATTTTCTATGTTGACCTGAAGTTCTTTTCTGCTAGGAATGAGCAAAGTAGTTTTCATCTTGTGCTATTAGAACCTGGGGGGTTGTGTATTCATAAAGATCTACTGGTTTGGTCAGCAGTTGCCTATATCTGCCCATCACACAATAGCAGCAAAGTTGTTGTTACATTTGTTTTCAACCTGTTCTGTCCGAACCTAGTTTCTTAACAAAATCAGTTGAAAGAATTTCATGGTTGGTTTTTGCCATGTTGAAACTTCTGCTTACTCAGCATGGAGTCTCAACATTTGTGAGAACTTCACTTAGTTCCAAGAAGAACTGCACAGAATGTGTTACTGTTTGACCTAACTGTAGAGAGGAAAAAAAAAAAAGAAAAAATAGTAATCATCTTGAGAAATGACGTAGTGCACATATGTATAAATAGTCTAACAATCCTACCTTCGTGTTTACTGCATTATTCTTGCAATTCAAGAAAAGGGAGAACTTTCTGGTGTGGACCTCCAAGCTCATATGATGTTGATCATTTGAAGTGAAGGGTACAGTCTCAGACTTTATTTAGAGAGCTGCTAGCAAAAATGTACTTCAGTCCTAGGAGCTGTTGCACACCATGATTGTTGTTTTCTTGTTACTTGGAGTGATATGTTTCTTTTTGCTCAAATTCTGTTGATTTTAATGTAATATGGACATACTTTCAGGAAAAAAAACATTTTATGTCTGAACAGTTTCACTAACTTGTCATTTTTGTATTTTAAGTACATGAAAATGTTGTATTTTAAAGGTAGCATTTGCGTAATTCTAACTTTAGGAATCTGCTTTTCAGTCACAAAGCTGTGGTACAGCAATCAGAAATGAAAGATTTGAATTTAGGAGAGTTGAGCAAGGAAAAATGAGTTCTTACCAGCGCTGATGAGGCAACTGTCACTTTGTACACCACCAAAAAAACCATCTTGAAGTGACTCAATTTTGACTATGCTGTAAAGGGTGATAATTTGTAATGTTAAAATGCCTGACTTCTAAGAATCTGTAGGGTATGTTTGGGAGCTTTAGGAAGGTTGGCACTGTACGTTTTTAATAATTTTTTTCCCCCTCTGTTTTCAAGCCTCCATAAGTCATCACCAAGAAAATTTGCATATCTTTACATGTGTGCATGTAGTCTTTTTAGGTGAGCCTGCTGATGATGCTGGCTGAGACAACTGGGCACCAAAGACAATATGTCAGAAGACAGTTGTGGTTGTTTATAGCACCATTATATTCTGAAGTGGCTGTTGCTTATGCTAAGTTCAGTTTAGTATCTTAAGCTGCCTGTAATTTGTAGAATCCAAATTAACACTGAATGTTCCATATCAAACAAATACTGGTTAATGTAAGAACAAGTGTTGTCAGCATAATAATTAACCTTGTGGAGCCTAAGATCCTGCCTGATGCACTTTTGGTTAAATTTGATAGATTTTTCTTCCAGTAGAACACACTGGAATCCAAACTGAAATTGTCTTCAGTAATTCTGCAAAGTGCAAGCATACCAGATTGTTAAAGAGTATCAAAGAATTCCTGGTAGTAGTAGTTGAAGTGCAAGTACAGGAATTCTTAATCTTAATCCTATTATGTAATTACTTAAAAAAAAAAAAAGTTCTAGGTTTGCTCAGCCATTTCATTTTCATTGTAAATACATACTGGTGTCTTTCAGTTAGGAAGGAGCACAGAAGTATGTGATAATATTATTCTATATTCTGTACTTTCCAACTCTTGCTGATGCAGTGACAAGCATTGTAACTGAAGCTGATTTTTTTTTTTTTTTACTATCCTTACGTAATTAGGAAAAATTTCAGTTGTTTGCTAATTTAAGTAGCCTTTTGAACGGCCGTGTTTTCATTTTCACCTGCGTAATTTGGCTATGAAACAATACTTAGCCATAAAGCAAGGGAAACCTACTTTTGCAATTTTTCTTCTTGCAAGAAATAAATTAAAGGTCTTTCTACACATATTACTAAAATAAGTATATCAATATCTTACTAAGCCTACAAAATGCTAATAAATTCAGTATTCAGTGGTTATTGGTATTTTTTTACGCAAATATACTTGGGATTCAAACTATTGTATATGAAACAAAATTCTAAGCTTATATTAAGGTTATTAATACATCGCGTCCTCTTTTTCTTTGTAGACGTGGAACTGGTGCTTTTAAATCAAGAGTAGGATTGCCAGCACCTACTCCTGTGATTAATAGCAAATATGGACTGAGAGAAACAGATAAACGATTGAACAGACTTAAAAAGTTGGGTGACAGCAGCAAAAATTCAGACAGCCAGTCTGTCAGCTCTAACACTGATGCAGACACCACTCAGGAAAAAGCTAATGCAAGTAAGTAAGGGAAAAATCTTAGAATGCCAGATTAAAGGTTTCATAAAAACATTTAAAACTTTCACCATGATGGAATTCCTCTCTTAGTTTTGAGATGAATCTCAGATATTGGTCTTTAGAACCATGATTTATTCAGGAATCCAAAGGCAATTTAAATAGCAAATTTGTGTTTCTCCTGAAGTGTTTAAAGAACAATATGTGATATGTTCTTGGTTTTTATTTATATCAAAAGCAAATATTGTCTTATTTCTAAATATGTCAGTTAAAGTTCTAGCAATATTGTATGTGTTTTGAAATGTGGTAAGCTGACATGTAGTAGTATGGTTTAGGAAAGAAAACTTACATAGCTTGAGTAACCTGCATTCTGTAGGAAAAGTTTTTAAAAAAATTCTCTTAGTAGAGCTTATTAAACATATAGTTTCCTTTAGAGATCATTTAAATTGGGTAGCTATTTCCTCTACAAATCCAGGACTGATAGTTCAGGTACCTATTCTGAAGTGAAAGTACACAGTAATCTCAGAAGAAATTGTTGGAAGGGTTTTTGTTTGTGATATTCCTGAGAGACTTCTCTTTATGGAGTAGTGAGTATCGTTTATTTACTTTCCCCCCTTCCCCACTCCCACCACCTTTGGTACAGGTAAAATACAAATAACTTTGACTTAAGTAGAAAATAAGTGTGGAGCCACATGAAATATGATTCCATGTGGCTCCTGTTTGCTTCTGTGATACTAAAAAACAAACAAACAAACACAAAAAAACAACCCAACAATTAACACTTCTCCCCTCTCTTCTCCCCTTTCGCCCCCTCCCTCTTATGATCTCTAATTACAAAGCTTTAGAGTTATAGCTTTGCTTGGGCAGACAAAACCCCCTTGCTTACCAGAGTAGGTGACAGACAACTGGATACTTGAAATGGAAACCATTACAGTAGTTAAGGTTTTGGGGTTTATTTTCCTCCTCCTGTAGGAAAAAATCTGGGGTTAACGCTGGAGCATGCTGATCATCAGATGTTGGTGGAATAATACTTGATAAGAATGCAGATAATGTGAGACAGGTTGTTTTTTAAAAAATTGGTAGAAGAAGAATTTCAGTAAAAACAAAACTTAGTCTATGGGGGGCAGTGAGGAAAGTGTACCTACAACATGGATCTTCTCTTGGAACTTTTGACTTGTTTGCCAATTCCTTTCATGTCTGAGCTACAAGTTAAGCAGTCTTGCTCCTAACTGTGTACCGTCTAGCCTGTTTCACAGGTTTTGAAGAAGTGTTTAAAATAAGTAACTACAGTATTTGAGAGCAGGAAACTCAGGATAGAGCAATGTCATAACAAAACTTCTTTTCTTTTGCAGCTAACAGAAAATCTTCAATTGGCGTCAAAAAGAACAGCAAAAATAGAACATTGAGACAGTCTATATCAAGAATTCCAGCATCATCAAATTCTACCTCATCTAAACTAACTCATATAAATAATTCCAGGGTACCAAAGAGACTGAAAAAGCCTGCAAAGCCTTTACTTTCAAAGATAAAGTTGAGAAATCAGTGCAAAAGGCCAGAGCAAAAGAATGCTTCTAGAAAGCTCGAAATGGGAAATTTAGTTCTCAAAGAGCCTAAAGTAGTTTTGTACAAAAACTTGCCCATTAAAAAGGATAAAGAATTGGAGGGACCAGTCAAAGTTGCAGTCTCTAGTGGCTGCTTAACAAGGCATGCAGCAAGAGAACATAAACTGAATTCTGTGAAAGGTGCTCATGAGCATGGTGATATACCACCCTGCACATACATAACAAGGAGGTCAGTGAGAACGAGGATGAATTTGAAGGAGACCTCTGACATAAAGCTTGAACCAAATATGTTGGATAGCTATAAGAATAACTTGACCGGAACGCAGTCGGATGTTTTAGAGCAGCAGTCTCGTGTGCTAAATGAAAATGACCTGGCTCATGGACCATCACATAAAGGGGAGATTAGGTGCCAGAAAAATGATGCAGGCATGACAAAAAAGAAATCTCGACAAGGAAAACTTGTGAAACCGTCTGCAAAACTAGAAGAAACTGATACTATGCACAATATACCTGTGAAAGATGAAGTACCAGATTTGATTAGTTCTCATTCAGAACTCGGAGAGAGGAATAATGTGGCGGACACACCTGTAGGCTACAAAGACTGTGTCCCAGGGTCTGGTGGCTGCTCTGTTGTAACATCTGACAATTTTAAAGCAAAAGACAGCTTTAGAACTGCAAAAAGTAAAAAGAAAAGACGAATCACGAGGTATGATGCACAACTTATCCTTGAAAATAGCTCTGGGATCCCTAAACTGACTCTTCGTAGGCGCCATGATAGCAGCAGCAAGGCAAATGATCAAGAAAATGATGGAATGAATTCTTCAAAAATAAGCATCAAATTAAGTAAAGACCACGAAAAAGACAATAATTTATATGTAGCAAAGTTAAATAATGGGTTTAACTCAGGATCAGGCAATAGTTCAACAAAATTAAAAATACAGCTGAAACGAGAGGAAGAAAACATAGGGACGTACCCTGAGGACCTTCATGAAAATGGTGTGTGTTGTAGTGAAACTCTCTCCCTTTTGGAGTCAAGAATGGAAGTAGATGATTATGGTCACTATGAAGAGGAAACAGCAGATGAATCTTCATCAGAAGAGGATGATGAAGAGGAAGATGACTATGATGATGAGTTTGATGACTTTATTCCTCTTCCTCCAGCGAAGAGATTAAGGCTTATTGTTGGCAAGGATTCAATAGATATTGATATTTCTTCCAGGAGGAGAGAGGATCAGTCTTTAAGGCTCAATGCATAAGCTTATAGGTCTTAAACTGACCTGGATGTCCTTTTTATAAAAAAAGAATAAAAATCTAAAAAAGGCAAACAAAAATCCCAAAACAAAAAAACACAACAAAAAAAAGACAAAACAAACAAAAAAACCCCACAACAAAAATTCCATTTGATTATTCCTCAGCTGAAGAACTTTCTGAAAAACTTAGTGGCAGCACTTCTCTATTGTTTATTCACCTATCAACGTAATATTGTAGAAAGTGTACAGCATACTGACTCTTCTTAAGTCTGATTTGTGCAGATTTTTATTGTACTTTTTAATAGCCTTCTTATGTGCAATTCTGAGTTAGAGATAATGCTCTGTTGTAAAATAAAGGCTCAAGCAAAGTTAAGAAATTGCATCAAATCTTTCCATGCAGGACAATGAAAATACAGTGTGGCTACGTAATTATTTTTGATCGGCAAGAGCATTAGTTTGCTCTTACAATATTTGACTAAACAATTAAAAAAATCATAGTAGCAGCATATTAAGGTTTTCTAGTATATGTTTATATCACCAGCAGTTATCTACAGCTTTTCGTTTTATTTGCTAGATGTTTTTTTTCCCCCTTGGAGTTTGTCAGTTTTAACACTGTATGCTGTCCCAGACGTACTGTTTGTGGCCTTTGTTATAGTAGCAAACCGTTGGTTGGAAGTCAAATTGATTTCTTTTTTTTAAAAAAAAAAAAAAAAAAAAGGGGGAAAAAGTGGGAAAAAAAGAAGAAAAAAAAAAGAAAAGATGTTGACAATTTGCTGACTTTTTAGTACATTATATGTACGAGGGTAGCAGTATGCAGAATAAAAGTTTGGATATGGTGTATTTATTGCTTGTTATGTAAATTAAACACCTTGTATTTAACACTTTTCAATACTTTTAGATAAAATTGTTCTTTGCAAGAATGATTGGTGCTTATTTTTTCAAGAATTTGCTGTGAAATAATGTGATTACAATGGGCAACATTTATCCAATGAACTGCAGCTATCCTAAATTGGTTCTTCATATTTTTCTGTTGCACTTGTAAAATGCTACAAGGAATTTAAAGAAAATCTATTCACTTTAACTTATGATAGTTTTATGAAATTAAAAACAACTAAGTCACAGCTTTTGTTCTGTGGTAACCTATAAATTGTTTGTCTTTTAAGAACCAGTTGTAAAAGACTGAAAAAATATGTATATGTTGTAAATATTTGTGTGTTGTGAGAAATTTTGTCATAAGAAATTGAGATAACTTGCCAGAAGGGTTTTTAAGTTTAGAAATACATCCATGCCAATAAAATAGGAAACTGTAAACCTAGTTTTAAACTCTGCATGAGTTGGAGTTCTTTGCTCATACGTAGTTCACTTAATTCTTCAGAGTCTGCTTTATAATAATGAAGAGCATCAGGGCAATCTTTGGCTCTTTTGTTTTTAATAAAAGAATGTTAGGAAACTTCTGGGCACAATGGACTTGTTTGTATGTATCAGCCAGTGCATTTCTAAGATGTTTCTTTGAAACAGGTCTAAAATGTCATAGTTCACATAACTATACGGAACTTCGGTCTGTGGTATTTGTGTTTGTTACTCAACCATGGATTAAGGTTTGGAGTTTTTTTATCTAGGGATATAGAAACAGAAATTGCATCATAAATCATGTGTTGTTGGATTAGTTGAAACTATTGTTAGCTGTGTAGTATTTTCATGTCAAGTCCAACCCTCTCTGCCCAAAAGAGCAAGAGCTGAAGTTACATAACCTCTCTATTACCCAGTTGTGAAACTCTAAGTGGAAATGGGTGTGTGAGGTTTGCATGTGAGCTGATCGTGGTGGTTTGGCCCATATCTCTGACCCTTGCAGAAATGAAGAAGTTCCTTCCAAATGCATTTCAGTGATTTGTTAGACTACAAATCAAATGGTGGAATCTGCCTTCATCTCACTTCCCTTCTGTTTTCTTAGCAGAGAATTAAGTCTAGAAGTAAACATAATTCTTGGAACTTTGTTTTTACGATGTCCAGACTGTTAAAGGCTGGGTCTCATGTACAAAGTGGGTAGGGCAGGCCTGTACATAATACACCCACCAAACCTGGGCTTTCTACTTGGTTCTTGCAAGACAGAGCACAAAAGCTGTGGTAAGTATGACATTTTTGAGTACTGAGTCAGCTATGGTGGATTGTCTTGTGGGATTTTTAATTGTACTGTATCACTTAAAAATGGGTGATTAAAGGTTGGGTTACAGGGAAGATAGCTGTTACTAGGGACTTGCTTTGTAGTAGGAAGTTTACCAGCAAACACCTGATGGCAAATAACAGTAATAGAGCTCTTTCCTCAAGAATTCACTCACATTTTCACAGGGTGATATGGCCAGCAAGTACGTGGCTGTGTCAGCAGAAGATGTGCGGAGCTGAACAGAACATCTGTGTGCTTTCTGTTCACCACCTAATGGATTATTACTGTCGCGTGTTCTGCGATACCAGCTCCCCCGCTTTGCTCCATAGTCAGTTTTTCTTGCAGCTCTTCTGTCTTCCTGCTGCTCCTGTGTGCAGACTCATGCTGCATGGTCTTCTAGCAGTCTTGGTGGTTCTAGTGGGGTGATTGGTTGGCAGAAATGTAATTCAAGCTGGGCATCCAAGGAAAAGGTGGTTGATGGAGCAAGTAAACATTGCCAGCCATTGTTGGTATTTACTGACCCATTACGCTCAAGAGCAAGTTTAGGGTTTGCTAAACTAGCATCAAGCAGTGAGAGCAGATCATGAACTGGTGAATGATTTGCAAGAGAATCCTGCTCTTAGAGGTGGAAGCTGGTTTCCTGGAGTAGATGTTCCTACTAAGTCATAGTTTAGCCAATGCCTTAAGAGCTGCTTTTCTTTTTCTCTGATGTGGAAGTAAGTACCAGGTAGCTCTTTGGGCATCAGGAACTCTGGATTGCTCTTGTTTCTTGAACAGCGCCTTGCCAAATTCTTGAGAATTTACAACAAAAGCTTTTAGTAGTTTCCAAGGTAGACATGTTCGTATCTATGTCCTGCTACATTTTTGGTATTTTATATGCCTTGAAAATAATACGTGCTTCCCCACATCGATCAGGTAGGCAGGTGTTGCTCAACCCCTGTCTGTTGTGCCCTTCCTTGCCACAGAAAATGGGGGTTTTTTTCATCATTTATATGTGAATTGGCAGATCATGATGCTTCCCTAGCCTTAATAATAGTGGAAGATAAACATTTTCATCATGTGTATGAGAACCTGACAACCTGGGGATGTCTGTTGCTGCGCAGATCACAAAGCACTGTGAAGTTAACAGTGATGTGACTGTCTAGGACCCCATCTAGCCTTTGTGCCTCTTGTTTCCCAAGATACTGGTGAGAAAAGACGCTGCAGCTGGGTAGGCTTAGGGTGACCACAGCACACCTTTTACTGGTTGAAGAATTGGAGGAAGCATACTACAGATGGGCTTTGTCGGCTAGTTTTGTGTTGGTGTAACAGGTTGTGAGGCTGACAGGAAGCATTACAATTACCATGGAAATGGCAGGCTGGCTGTGGGTTTGTGAGCGTCCTGGCTCTGGCAGTGCGTATCAAGCTGCCATATAGCTGAGGACAGGTTTAGCATGGGCTTTTGAATATTTGGGTAACAGACGTAACTGTTGTCTGACTTGCACCTTTGATAGTGGTGAGTTAATGTGGATGGGGCAATGGTGTTGATTCTTCATAGAAGAAAACCAAATACTGTTTCTTCACAAACAGTGTTATGGAATTGTGAGCATCCCTTTAAAAAATTAAAATGCAGAGCATATGGAGAGGGAGCACTCCTAAGCACTCTGCTCAAGTAAAAGCTTGCACAGATTTACTGTATAGTGAAAATTGCCGCAAAATTTCACATTACAGGCAGTTCAATCCTGTTGGATGCTGTTTATGTCAATCCCAGGGAGACAGAAAAAATGACTACTGAATGTGTTTGTCGGCCTTGCACAGGGCAGCATAACCTTTCCCTCCAAGGGATCTTGCGTGGTAGTTATGCATTAGTTCACATGCCTTACTTACACTAATTCCATGAAATGTTTTTGCTATTGCAAGGTACACATGGTTGGCTTCAGTGTTACTACTCTTCCTCACAGGCAAGGGAAATCCATTGCTTCTTCCCAGGCATTTGATTTAACTGTAATTTTACTCAGTTTTATCCTTGTATTAAATGTGATCAGAACAGTTCCTGCCACAGAAACAGTAGCTTAGGTGGTGGTGTTAGAGGACTCCTTGTTGTAGGTATAGGTATGGGACCAGTTATATAGTGTTGCTCAGGAATTTTTTAGCTTAACAAACAAAGATTCATTATTTTGGTGGTGAGTTTCAGTCAAGTGTGGAGCTGTCAATGGGTTCAGCTTCAGCAGACCATAGATTTTTCCACTGTTGCTTTACGATGTTCATCAGAAGTCAATTCTATTTTGTAATTAGGTTTATGGTCTTTTCTGCTCCAATTACTAAGTTTGGCTGCAACATTTTACAATAGAATTGGCTGCAAATTGGTAGAAAGTGACAATCACAAAAATGTGTTGGGTAGGACATGATTTTATTCATATTTGCATAAACAATGTGTATGCAGCATCAGGGCAGGACTGATGTGTAATTCATGGTCATGGTTGCTGAAATTTCTTGGATAATACTGAATATTGAGACAGAAAGATGGTCTTTCAGATCCAGAGATTGTCCCCTCATGTAGGTCAAGTGCAAGGCCTGCCCAAAATATTTTAAAGCTGAAGATTAGCCCTGGCCCATCCAGTCATAGTAGGCAGCAGTCCAGGGGGGATTGCCTCTCTGTAATGCCAAACTGCTGATGCTTCAGCAAACAACACTCCAACTTCAGAAGTAACGGGAAGATTTGAAATCCAGCCTTAGGTATGTGCTCAGAAAGTACACATTCTGAGAAAGGGAAAGCCCTATGCTGAGGCCTTCAGCATTAACAGTAAGGGTTTACAGTTAACTTTTAAGAACGTGGTTTAGTCTTTTAAGTAACTTGAATACTTCTGAAAGCTGCTTTCTTGGCATAGCACAGAAAAGTCATGTAGAG